TGTGTGTGTGTGTGTGTGTGTGTTGTCTGCAGACAGTGGAGGGGAGGAGGAGGAGGAGGGAGCAGCTCAACATTACCTCAGGCTCTGAGACATAAAAGAAAAACTTTAAAGCTGCTGAGTTTTTGATTTAAAAATCTGAGATTTTCGTCTGTTCTCATGATGCAAATGAGGACATTTTATGTAATTTACAGACGATCAGTACAAGGCGACAGCATTAGTGTGTTGAAAATGAACTTATCTAAGGATTTTCACAGTTTTATCTTGATATTTCTTCAACAATATTCTTGAACATGAAATCCGAGGCAGTGATTGGTCCATGTCGGGGTTTTTTCTAACGACGTCATCCAGGATCAGCTTTGCGGCGTCGCAAACCAGCTTTAAGACTGACACTTAAGAATTACTCCTACACCCTCACTTTTACTCTCAGCTTTTAACTAAGATTTTTTTCACACTTAAGTCCACTCTTAGCAGCATTCTTAAGAGTAATTCTAAGCAGTTTGATAAACACGGGCCCAGACCCTGTTATCAATCATTTTTCACGTGGCTTTTAAACTTTTGTAGTTTTTTTATTTGAAATGAAATGGTTTCAGTGGCAAGCCAAGTTTAGACCAGAAAATAAGGCTCATTCTGCAGTTTGATGTTAAATGGTTAATTATTTCCAGCTGTCGAGAAGCATAAAGCGAGAGATAATGCTTTTACTAGGCTACATGTGTTTGTATGTTTGCCTGTTAGCAAAATATTTTGAAGGAGCTATTGGGTTTTATAGAAACTCTCAGCAAAAATTCATACATTTTATACATCTTTTAAGACTTAAACAATCATTTTGATCATGTGAGCAAGCTAAAACAGTTCACGGAGAATACATATATATTTTTTCTGTTTATGTTAAATTTGTTCAATAATACAAATATTTTTAAACAGGTTGCCCTTTCTATTTCTAATATAAATGAACTGTATTAAAGAGCTGATTAAAATGATGGAAACTATAAGAGATTATAACATTTAATATAAACTTTCTGTGTTTTTTGTGATGTTGGGGTTAGACATTTATGTTTTCTGTTTCATGTATTCATCATTTTATCCATCCAACTCCTGGTGCAGCTTTAGCATGAAACAACACATTTCGGTCTTCTGCCAAATAAAAAAAATACCATGGTTTTAATAAGGGCAGAAAATAGGACGCGTTTCGGCATGTAGCCGAAACGCGTCCTATTTTCTGCCCTTACTAAAACCATGGTATTTTTTGGAGTGCTGGTTATCCCCATTTTTTTTGATTCTTCAGAACCAGGCACCCATTTACTCTTCTCCCTTTTTATAAGGAAATTTGAGTTGTGCGCACTAAAAAWTTTTTTATCTTGCCAAATTTCCCAATGAAACCAAATTTACTATAACTGTCGTCATATTTGCAAAGTTTTAGCTAGTTTGAGATTTGCATCATTTGTTGACGTGGTCAGATTTAAATGTTTGTTGCTAACTTTTAAGCAGCAGAGAGAGCTGTGTTCCAGGTGAGTCCAGAGAAAATTTGTCTGATGTGTGACAGATTTATCACAATCATATCAGAGTTTTTATGAACTCAAAGCTTTAGTATACTAGAGTACTTGGTGCAGTATGTTTGTTTTATTGGCAAATTCCCATTTTTATGCACTTTTTTTAACCAATTGACACGACAAATAATTTGATGTGGACCCCCAAGCTATGGTTATGATCCCCCAGGTGGTCCAGTTTGAGAACCGCTGAATTAAAGTACTGCATATTCTGCTGAATTATTAGAAGATTTAGGCATTCTTTAAATAAAAACAACTAAAGTTATGTAGTTCTACAGTAATGCTGCTAGATTTAAATCAGCATCTCTGCAACATTTTGCTTTTAGGTTTCACTTCTTAAATCTGTCCGTTAGTTTAGAAACAACTAACATCAATTTAATGCAACATGTTGACCTTAAACCCACAACACCAGGCTAACCCAAATAATTAGAAAAACAAGACAGAGGATTTTCATAGCTGTCACACACACACACTTTTTATGCAACGTAAAACATAAAAAATAAACCTTAATTTTCTTGAAAGGCCAGAGCTTGGGCCGCAGTTTTGGTGGGTTGAGTGTGTTTTCTGAATTTGCCGGTTTGATTCCGTGGGAATAGTCTTCAAACTCCAGGTCTGCGGGCCGTTCAAAACCAGACTTGTGTTGCTCTATGAAGATTAATGAGTCCTGCGTGAAAAGATAAGCAAACAGGTTTGTTCACAGAAACAAACAGGTTGTTCAACTGAAAACTTCAAAATATGGGTATCAAGTCATGAAGACTAGAAACCTTGGTTAGCACAACCAGTTTGAGTTTAGATGCAGAATAACGTAATTTAAAAGAGTGAAGAGGTCATAGAAGTGGTAGAAGAGGAGAAACAGTAGAAATTTGTTTGAAGTTTGGGTTATACTTCAATAAGACGTGAGACAGCAGGTTGGTGATTGTGTCATTTTTGGACCTCTTTTTCCTGAGTACGTATAAACGGGTTGAAGACGTGGCGGGAAATAAATTATCGTAGATCCTCCCTCTGCCCTCCCACAGCTCAAATACGTACATAAACAGCAATAATGATGGCTGGATATTCTGTTTTTTATCACTCAATGATCAGTGTTGTGTTGAGTGAGGAGTCCGCAAAGGAAAACCTTTTTTATGTTAACGGTGGTGATGGAAAAGCTGCGTGCTCACGTTCAAYTGGATCAAATGAGCTGCTCTTCTAGCTCTTTTAACAACCAACTTCAGACAAAACAAATCATTTTCAAACAAAATAACCTGCAGAAGGCAGAGCTGATTGGAGTCCAGCTCTTCAGTGCTGTTGGACCGCTGCGGTGTTCCTCATGAACAAACACGCCCACAAAGTTCTAACCAATCACACGCTCTGAGTCGCAAAGTCTGCATCGCAGAGTTCTGACTGGGTGTAATGTACATGACARCTGTCCCCGGGGGAAAGCAGCAGGGGAGCAGACAGAAACTGCACAATTTTTTGTCACTCAGCAGGAGGAACGACACGTGTGACTCGCAGTTTAAACCAGACTTAAAACTGGATCTCTGCCTCCTGGCCGATTGTCAACAGTTTGAGGAATTAATAGAAAATAGTTTCCTAAAAAGAATCTAAAAAAGTGAAATGAGCATAATTTCTGCCCCCATCAGACCAGGTATTCCTCAGAGTGTCTGCCAAGATTTTTTTCTTAGCAGCCCCATATGGGACATGCGGGAGAACATGTTGGTCTGGTTGGGGAGGGGATCAGAGAAAACTGTGGAGTCTGATGTCATTTTTCCTAAAATCACACAACAAAACTTTACAGTTATTTGACTGGAGTAATCGAGAATCAATACCACTGATGTAAAAAAACAATCTTTCTAAATTTATGCTTTGCCTTAGTCAGCAATTTCAGGTGGAGCCCCAGAATTTATTGGACTGTAGCTGCGGGTGTCCATAATGCTGCATTTTGGACCATTGAGCTGCCAAAAGAGTCGTTATCTTAATGTGTCATGAGTGAGAAAAATTGGTTTGAAGCATAAATGGGTGAACCGGGGGCACTGAGCTAACTCCAGACCATCATCCTGTCAGCCCATTAGAGGTCTGCTGAAGGTAGGGTCCAACTATCCAAMCTTTAAAGAATCGTCCTGTACCAGAAACTACAAAGAACACTTCTTTGTTCTTTACTTCTAAAAGTCGGTGCAAACCTGTTTAATGACAAGAAACAGTAATTCTCTTCGACAAGAATTAAACAATCATTAAATAAATAATCAACACTGTAGATATAAGAGTGGCAAATTCCAGCTCTTTTCAGAAAAAACAAATATTTTTTGGCTGTCGAACATTTTTTCTGAACATCAGCAGATGGATGTCTTTCTGAGCTTCTTTTTCATCGGATCAGAAGTGTGCTGGTTGTGATACGAGAACAAAGTGACAGCTTGTCAAAACATCATCACACACTTGCCTGTTTCTCATCCACTTTCGTCCCCGCTGCAGAGATTCCCTCCAGACACCTGCTGATGATGGGAAAGACCTTCTTCTCCATGTCGGAAAACTGGCAGTAGCCCTCGGCCAGCCGCCGGATCCTCCGCTCGTCCAGGTCCTGCAGTTTCTGCTCGGCACAAACGTCCAGCGGCATCGCTTAGTTTCCATTTTACAGATGACAACTGCGTTATGACTGTGCGTCTTTATGATTTTATTTGTCTCACATTATAGATCAGTGGGATTTCTACATAGTAGAAGCTGTTCTGATCCTTGTTGTATTTCTGTAGCTCTGCTGCATAGTCGTTCCTGCACTCCTCCGCTGTGCGTGTGCGTCCAAGGGCGCTCTGCTTGGCCTGCGGAGCAAAGGGCAGCAGGAGTGAGAGAAAAACAAGGATAGTGAGGAATGAAGGAGGCATATTCAAATTCGGAGAATGAAAGAAAATCAAAAGAAGACAGGAATAATAGTTAGAGTGTGAAAATATAAAAAAATCAAAAGTGAAACTAGAAAAAAAATGAAGAACTTTTGTGAAAATAGTGTAAAGGCTGAGTGCTGAGTGCTAAGTGACTGACAACTTTCATAAATGTTTTTATGACAACGAAAAGAAGCAGAGCACTGGCTAAAAGCCAAAYGTAGCACAAAACTAGTTTAGCACTAAAAGCAAAATGCTGGCTAAAAGAAGGATAACAGTAGCTAGAAAGTAGAAATAGCAAAAGTGTAGCTATAAGGTACATATAGTTAAATGATAGCTAAAAACTAAAAGTAGAAATATAGAAAAATGATCTGAAGAAATTAAAGTGATTTCATTTTATTTATACAGGGGAAAAAGACTTTGAAAAAATGTTAAATACTTAAAAAATACAAAAGTTYGAAATCAAAGCACCCATCTCTTGAATATGTATGCTTTCATATATACTGTAAATAGATAAAAAAGCACAAACTATACAAATTAGAGTACAATACAAATATCTACAGAAAAAATAAATAAATCAGGAAAACAACAGTGTGAATGCTGACTCAGCAATAAGTCTTCATATATAATGTGTATTTACTTTCTCAACATCGATCTTCGTGGCAGACATGTCGTTCTCAATTTTCTCTACATGCTGATTGGCCTTTTCAACCTCCGCCCACTCCTTGGCGAAGCGCTTCTTGGTCTGCAAGTTAAGAAGAAAAACAAACACAGATTTCAGGCATCAGCACAAGGAGCATCAACAGAGTAAATATAGTGGAGTTTGGTCTAATTAAAGTATTAAAAACTGAAACTGCAGGATTAAGATTCACTTTGTTGTCCTTGTTACACACCTGTCACAGGCTCCACCATGTAAAGAAGCTGTGACGTTACAAACTAATGTTTGACTGCAGATTACGATAAAAAGTAAATAAATAAAATAAAAATACTTAAAATTACAAATTCTCAAAAAGTTACTTAAGTACTGTAACAAAGTAAATGTACTTGGTTACCATACATTTCTGCATTTTACAGCCATTTCCTTCATTAAGATGTAGTCAAAACCGATGACTTAATAAACGGACTCTTACGTTTCTGACCATTTGCCGTACTCTGAAGCATTACCAGGGGTGGAGCCAGGGGGTGGCCAGGGGTGGCCATGGCCACCACAGGCATATCTTTGGCCACCCCATTGGCCACCCTGCTGTGCACACCCCTTCCACAGTGAAACAACATTTAGGGCTGTAACAATCCTCCTGAACAGTTGGTGGCAGTACTTAACAGTTTGAAACATCACCAAGATCCATCACTGAAGAAGAGTAATGACAAGGAAGTGATGATTTTCTTTAAATACAGAATCTAGGCCTATGTAATCTGACTTATGAAGTCAAGTTTGGGATTTATCGTGACAAATGTTTTATTTATTTATTTATTTATTTATTTATTTATTTATTTATTTATTTTTGTCACCACAACACAGTATCATTTTTTGTAATGAAGGCTGCATGATGCTCTGTGTTTGGTTATGAGTAGGCCCATCACTAAATCAGAAAACGTGAAACACCCCTCTAAATTCACTAAATTCATTGGGTAAAATTAATAATGTTAGTTTTAAAATGCAGTTGAGGGTCATCAATATTTGGCACAATGACATATGTTACAATTAAAAATAAAGCAATAAACAATATAAAAATAAATAAAGCACCCATAAAGTCATCGGCTAGGATAGTGTGTCACAATAATTAATCTTATCTCAGCAAAAGCAATGAGGTTAAAAACAGGATGATGGAACTAGTTTAATGAAGAATCTGTCTCTGAAATAATTAAATCAAGTGTTAATTTATGTAGGTAAAAGTATGTTTATCAACCTCATAAAAATACACCAGAATGCAGGAAATGGCATCTATTTCATCCAAAATTTTCTGGGGGAGGACCCCCAGACTCCCCAACAGTGTGTCCCCCCACTTTTAAAATGGTGAAACCCATGTTTATAAGGTAGTCACTGCCTGTAAGGACATAAGGAAATAACAAAAACACAAAAATCTGCAGAAACTTTCAAGTAAWAAAAATCATGTAATTTTCATGGCCACCCCTGTGAGTGGTGGCCCCGTCTGGCCACCCCTGAGAAAAATGTCTTCCTGTGCATTACCTCTGTGCATATTAAAAAACATATTTCAAATGTGTTTGTTATTCAAACTGCAGAGGGCGCCTTTTCCTTTTACTGAAATGTGAGACGATTATAACAYTGACTGTCAGTCTTAAAATAAAGTATTTTTCTATAGCCAGATAAATCACTACAGACTACTAATTAATAAAGTTGTTGGTCAATCCTCTGCACAAAGAAAACAGAATTGAGTCACAACCTATAAAAGAAAATATAAAACCATACAAACATGTAAAAAATACTTAAAAACATTTAGAAAAATCAGATAAAAAAGTTATAAAACTTGTAAATAATTTTTGAAGAGTGCAGATACACCACAACTTAATAATAATCTAAGATAATAACAAATGTCTACATTTAAAGAAATGATGAATCAATTGCAGAAGTGGAAAGAGAACCAAGATAAAACAAAATAAATGAAAAATATTAAAACATCTGACAGTGGGTCATTAAGGTTACTGTGGCAATAACACATCTCTGTCTCTCACTCCCTGACTGCCAAGTTAAGAGGAAGCAGACGGACTGAGAAGCGAGCCTTAAATAAACAGCTGATGTGATAACTTTAAATCAGATCTCAGACTGTGAGCGGCAGAAGACTCTTGTCATGTGTGTCTATTTTATTTTTTTTTACAAAAGATAAAACAAGTTAAAAAGAGGTGAAATCTGTGAAAAACCAAACACTGAAACTGTGGTTGTGTAAAATCACTTATAATGGGTGAGTGAAAAGTCACAGGCCAACCATTTATTTCAGAAACAAAACTGAAAATGTCATATCTGATTACCCCAACAAGAAATGGGTGAGAAGGCCTATCTTTTAGGCTATCTCTAGAACATGGCTGCCATCTTGAAAGCTGCCATACTGGATCAAGGGTAGGTGTGCGACGGTGTGTCTTCTGAATAAATGAAAATGATTTAACACAGTTGTTTATACTTTTAGCAGCTCTTTTTATTCCACAGCTGAGCTGCTAGTGTTGGGTTTTCTTGTTCAGTACTCATTTTTAAAATGAATCACACTTCTTTTCGTTAGATAGCTGTGTTCACTTTATTGCTAACGTACAACCTTCAGTTAACTTTAACGTACAACCTTCAGTTAACTTCATCTCTACTTCTCTTTATTTGAACAGTGCTGCTTTTTCACAAGAACTCACTCTCATTTCCCCCTGGTGGACAACAGCAGTACAACATGCACATAAACAAAGTGACAGCATACAGAACTTGCAGCTTTACCTTTCAAAGTAAATTAGAGA